CAAACCCCCTTCTCAAAGGACAGAGAAAAGCGACAGTAAAGCTTAACAGATGCGAGATGGAATAGCGAAAACTCAGCCAGGCAAAGGTTAAATTCTTCCATTCTGAAAGCGAACACTTTCAGCCAAAATTCCTCGACAGTCTTCCTAAGCTCCATCGACATCCAAGGTATCCCAATTGACGAAAACCAAATCAGAGGAGAAGAGTGGATGGAAGAAGCATGGACGAGCACAGGGGCAAAACAGCCGTCCAGCCTACCTCAACAAGACCGGACCCACAGGAATGGAAGAACAAAGACAAGGGTCGTCCTATGACCACACGAACACGAGGATGGGAGCACGACGATGGCCTCGTGAGGAAGGATAGAAGCCCGCCCACCATCGTCATGCGTGCCCAAATGTGTCATCGATTGTTTTTCCAGGTCCAGCCTACACCAAGCACGTCCATCCAGTCAGCAAGAAGAGAAGTACCCCGAGAGAATGAAACGTACTCTCGGACACCGGCATCCAACCCCCCACAAAACGCATTGCCGATACTCCCTCACTCGCCCCGTGCACACGCTAGCACGGTCGATTTCGACGCGTTGCTCGGAGCGCCGTCCGCCGTTTGTGTAGGGTACATCGCCGATGTCGTATACTGGCCGCACCGTCCGTAACATGGTCGCACAAATACGTTAGCTACTAGTAGGACATTCCATGGAAAGACTGGACAAGATAGAGAAGGAAAGGACGCACAGCTAGCTACGAGGGGAGGTGGGCGACCATGAAGCTGATTGAGTCGGAGGGGGCAGAGGAGAGCGTGGATAGTGGCTGATGGATCTGCGTAGCCTGATCATAACACCGCCCAGTCAATTCCTTTCATCGAAGGATTCATCGAAGGACATCCTTTCTTATGGTGACTGGTGGATCTGCATAGTCTGCCATATCACCGTCCCGTCAGTTCCTTCCCATAGAAACAAGAAACAAGAGGAACTGAGAATACAACAGTCGAGAACGAGATGAGGAAGAATGAATGTCAACCGCGTTTCGAGGTCGTCGTCGTCGCCGGAACAAGGTTCGCGACGAAATTGTTTGGCTTTGTTATGACTGGAGCCTGAGTGTAGGTGCTAGGTTCGGAGGGTTGTTGTGTTTAGGGGAATGGAGTATTTGACCGTGTTAGATTCAGAAGCTCTCAGCTTGTGCGTCGGCCCACGATCGTCCGATTTTCAACATGCGGGTTCGGGGTGCAGCTTTCTCTTTCATCGACCCTTTCGACGACGCCGCCATCCATCGACGATCGACCACCCAGCTTCGGCCTCGGCCAAAACCCACCCCGGCTGTCCACCTGCATTCTGGAAGTCGACGTCTCCCGCCTCCGCCGACCGGAATCCAATCGTTGACGCCCCGACCTCGGAATGGACGTCTCACCAGCGCTAGACTCAGATCTACAACCACCGTGACGAGATACTGCCTCACGACTGGCCATCCCCCTCCAAGCCTCGAGGGATGACGACGGGAATTAGAGCAGCGCTGGACTCGACTTCGTATCCCCAACCCCGATATGGTTCCTCGCCCATTGACTCTTCCACAAGCCCGACCGTTGAGTGGAATGCTTTCATATTGCACAGACACCCCATCTTCCTGCCTTGGACCGACGATATGGGAGCGATGGGACTGAGAAACGACTGGGAACGATTCGTAACTAGGCGCGGTTCGAGAGAGGGTTGGTACAGCTACCCCGACGATGGTTTCGAGAAACCCCATAGGATCCGATCCCCTTGCGATGCCTTCATTGAACTCGATATCCCATCCCCCACGCCCAGTTCATCCCCGACGCCGAATTCATTCCCCTGATCGATACTACGCCATCTTCGTATCCTCGTAACGATCCACGACGGTGGACTTTCCTCGACTTGATTCGGTTCGATTGAATATCCCCTAGGCCCACGCTGAATGTCTCGCTACCATCTAAGATACCTCGCTGCCAACGTCCCTTGCCCGAGAGACCCCTGAGGGATACCACTTCGCCTTCCAACAGCGAGCGCAGGAGATTGAGCGTCGGGTGAGACTAGGCGTACTTCGCATGCCTGTGAGAGCTTCATTAAGGGATTCATCGATACATGCTCCGGGGGACCCATCGAGACTTGATCCGGGGAATTCACGAACTGGAAAATCGCTGCACCCACCTCAACGTGCATCGCCCTCATTCGATATCCCCCACCCCTCGATATTTCCTAACGCTGTGCCCTGGGGTCTCTCTGCCTGCCCATCGTCTATCCCTTCCGATGCCCTGGCTCCTTCGACGCGTCTGATCGACCCTGCACCGCTATTCCCCACAGACCCTGCCGCTTTTCTCTCACCCCCGCCAACTTGCTCCCTGAGCTTCCTACGTGCACCATTGGGACATCTACGCTTCCTAACTCGAACCCTCTGAAATCTC